GGCTTCGCTGTAGGAAGGGATAAAAACACTATACCAGATTATACCATTGTTTCTTCTCCATTCACAGTTCTGTCTTATTTTTTCTTTGCTGTATCAGATTATTTGCTGCCTCAAGAACCCTTGTCATCATTTGGATATTCACATACCCATCTAGTATAATATATTCAGGCTTCACATGCTTCCTAGAAAACCCATTTTTCCAGTCATCGAAACACCTGGAAATTGATAACCAAAAAAATGACCAAATATCCTAGTAATGTTAATAAATACATGCACAGCAATGTTTTTTGTACATGCAACATACACCTTCTGCTTCTTGTTTTAGTCTGTTTCAGCTCCATCCCCACCACCTGTTTGTTAGTCTAAAAGATTAGATTCATTTTATATAAAATAAAATAAATTCAACTTAATTTGAATTGTTACTTATGGGCTGTGGCCAAACTAATGCTACTGTTAGAGGAAAATTGTAGTAAAATATAGTCATTTCACTGGAGAGGATGCAGCAAAGGATTAATAAAAAAACTGTATGATCTTATATGGCCACATTTATCACACTATCATTAAGTGACAGGGTTAAGTTTAATCAAAAATGATTTCTGAAATAAAACAATGTATTAATTTCTAATGCCACCTTTAGATATCTCTATTCAGTGCTTTACCAATGTGCCACAATAATGTTTTTGAGTTCTAATATCTTTATTTGGGGGCTTTTCCAGGCAAATATTAATATAAGTGATTGATTGTGATTAAATCAGCAGATATTTCTGCCGTCCAAGTCTCCATGAAAAAGGAAGTAGAGTGCTCCTAGCTTTCTCATATTTATGTGTTTCTTGTAACAATAAGCAGCTAGGGAGGGACTTGCGTTTACAGTAGCCAATAGTGCTGAGTGCATGTTACACTATGCAGCTAGCTCTATGAGCTAGCATCAGAGCCTACCTTTCATTGAATGCATCCTGTCAGGAGACAGAAAGCTTTACGTTGGGTGAAAAATTAGTATACACCCCCAAGTGCAGGATGAGCCATCAACAACTTTTTTATCGTTTCTCAGGAAATTACTCTAAAATACCATTAAGAATACCTGAAAATACAATATAAGTGACATATAATGCTAGACATATGTGATATAAACATCAATTTTGACTTCATGGGACTTAATATTTCTCTAGTTCTGCTCATGGAGCCTGGTGGTTTGTGCTCTCTGGTAACATTGAGCATGATGCCCAAAAGAAAATACAAGGAAGACTGTAAATGTTTGATTCACCAAAGTCATTGGAAATGCAAAGGAGGAGGCCTCAGAGGCCTCTGCTTATGTGGGGAGATTCTCAGTGATGACAGCTTAAAAAGCATTCTCAGTATCAGGGCCAGTCAAAAGATTTCCTGTGCAAAGGAGAGACTTTAAAGAGACAGTTTAATAAAAATGATTTACCTAACCAACAGATTTTAAAATATAATTAAATATATAAAAAATGAATACCAGAAGTACGATAATAAGAGCAAAGTAGAAGTCATAAAAAATAAAGGCAAACCTATAAAAATGCAAAAAGTAGTCACTGGTTCTGCAAACTTTACTCCTCAGGCAGCCAAGGGGTCCTGATGCCAAGAACACAGTTACCTTTAGATTCAATCCTCGACTTTCGAATAGCCAGAAGGCCTGAGGCTGCGAACTGGCTCATAAGGGGTTCACATATCTGCTATGTAGCTCTGTGCCAGGCCAGACGTGCTTTAAATGTGATCAGGAAAATCTTAAATTCTAACACCAACAGGGAGCTGGAGCTTAGAAGGCAGGATTGGTGCAGTGACAGTATCAGTCGTGTGAAGCATTTGAAATGTTTCATGTGTTTGTTGGTGACTATTAAGTAAGTAATTTCCCCACGGGGATTATTAAAGTATTTCTGATTCTGATTCTGATTCTGACTAGTGTGTATCTTCTTTATTAGTGGTTTATAAATGTATATGTTATGCCAGTTTTTTGCAAGTTGCTATATTTATCTTTTTGGGTCTCATGCTGAAAAAGTTTGGGAAGGTAATATAACAAGGAAAATAAAATTATCTATGCCATATGCCATAGTGAAAACTATCTACTGAGTGCCCAGGCTGTGTGTCCCTGCACCACCTGTCCCATCAAGAATATCCTCTAAAATATAAACAATATAAAATAATATGAAGCGAAATCCCCCCCAGCCCATACCCCCACATACACATTTCCCAGCTCCCCATACCAAACCCTCCTAGCTCTTACCCCTCACCTGTCAGTCATTCCCGGGTCCCTGGTGCTTAGGGGACCACAGGCCTGTCAGACCTCCAGCAGCCCCTCAAAGAAATACCCTTCCTCCCGTCACTACCCACCCGTCCCTCCCCTGCCTCACCCCCATCCCTCTCGGGCCCGCCAAACAAAAATAAAGTCACATTGAAGAGAGAGTGGCCGGGGCTCCTGCTTTGCAGATCAGTCAGTGGATACCTGATTGTCACTCACGGGTTGGGCCCTTAATCCTATTGTTTCTCCGACAGGATTACTCTCTGTGGTCCCTCTCTCCCTGTGGCTGCACGCGGGAGAAAGGCCAGATTAAGGGGATTAGCGTGTATCCTCCTGACTTGTCAAACCGGAATGTAAGGAACCATTGACTTTCTTGGGGACCCTGAATGAGGAGAGGCAGAGAGGTGCCTAAAGAAGAGGTCATGAAAGGCAGCAAACAAGCCAAAATTCCTGAAAGGACAATGTGATTTGTTTGCTTTTGTTTCCTCAAACTGGGCTGAAAGGTTCAAAGGGCTGGCGCTGAGGAGAGGAGAGAGAACCAAGGGAGATGGAAGGGGAGAGAGCGCGGAGGGAACGTCACTTGACGTTTGGCTGATTTCATATCACTGCAAAGAAATTCAGTCAGTCAGCTTCTGTTTCAACAACCTGTGCAGCATGAACACTGAAGAGGTCAAAACTCCAGCAACACTTGCAGTATTATAACTCTATATATAATAACACCATAAGAACATGTTTCAGCTTGTGGCCTTCATCAGGTTCATTGTATAATCCATAGAACCAGTGGTGGCTGTTTGAAGGGCAGCGGTGAAAAAATAAAAAGGGCAGCAGTGCACAAAAAGTTGTAATGCTTTTATGGTGAAACATCTTAGTCAGGGTTAGAACCGAGAAGGGCACTTTACCTTGTTCTGTCCACTAGAAGGGCACCCAAGATGGCAATAAATGTTTTTTTTTATCTATCATAGGGGCATCCAAGAGGGCACTTTTGCTGAGTTTCTCTAAACAGGAAGCAACGTGTTCTTTGTTCTTTTTTTAAACATGTATTCAGAAAAAAACAGAGTGAAATGATAGTGGTCTTAAGGTGGCACCTGCATAATTACACCATCTTGTGGAGGGGCTCTGAGTTAGACTCTTTAATGGACCAGTGTGTGGGATTTTGTGGCATCTAGTGGTAAGGTTGCAGATTGCAACCAAACTAAGTTTGGTGTCGCTCACGCATGGCAGCGGCGGTTGGAACTAATAAGGAGTTCGGTCTAGACCTGCTCTATCTGAAAAGTGTCTTGAGATAAGTTTTGACTAACTGTTACGAATTGGCGCCATACAAATAAAACTGAATTGAAAATTTTATTGAATTTCTGACAATAGATCCTCTTAAATGTTACACACTGGACCTTTAAAGGAGAACTGGATACGGGGTTGGAGCTTTAATGTCTAAATATATTTTTTGCTTAAGTTAGCAACAAACAATTACAATACTAGTACATAACACAATGCACAGAGAGAGAGAGAGAGAGAAGGGGGGGAGAGAGAGAGAAGAGGGGGGGGGGTAAAGCAGGGCCTACAACTCATTTTGGCCCCAGGGGTAATCTAGCCCTGCCATGGACAGGTTAGAGTCTATGACAGGTGATGTCACATTTCTTTTGGATAACAAAGATTATATGAAAGGCTTGAATGAAGGTAGTCTTGAAGGACCAAAGCTCAGTTTTTTTCAGGAATATTCTTCATTGTGGGTCATGGATGTAGTGTGAATGGAGGTATTGCCCCAAACAGCCTGGTGCACCCACACACATAGCAGACAACTGATGGGATCCACATAATACAGACAGGGAATTGTATAAAAAGTAGAAAATCAGGAAACCCCTCTCTGATCAATATTCACAGGAATAATCTACTCAAAATACGTCCAAATCTCTGTTTTACACAAACTTTCTGCAGTTATTGTGTTCCCTGTTTGGATTCATTGTACAGTTTAGCAGTGGTTCTCTACTGTTTATTGTATACAGATTAGATATTAGATATGAAATATACATAAAATATGTCACTAATTCAGGGGTAATCAATTTACTCAACAATAGAAAAGGAAAGGAAAGGAGGTTGGGAACCACTGCTCTAGTAAATACCACAAGAGGTATGTGAGAAAATATAAAATTTATTCATTTAGTAACCTGGTTGAACTGACCCTTTAGTAAAAAAAATGTAGTTCTAAAACACTGCACATCTTTCATCCACAGCATTTGAAAGCCTTCTATTTCCTGATAAACTAGTTAAATAAACCTTTATTACAATAATAATATATTGTTAGTAATTATATTGGTTATGAGAATGTTTCCTATACTATGGAAGCCCATTCCATGTGTTGAAAAGAAGGATTCTGTAAGACATTATACTGAGAACGTTTCTCAAAATACTGACTTACCATCACAAAATAATGACTTAGTATCACAGCGTCATTATTTTGAGATACTAGATAAAAATATTGGGAAACAAGACAAAATATTGAGAAACTTCCTCATTATTCTGAGATACTAAGTCATTATTTTGAGATCTTTTTTCCCGTCCCATTGGCGGAAATGGGCTTCCATACTATTTAATTTCCCCCTGCATTAGAAATGATTACCTGTGGAACACTGAGGTAAAATTGACCCCGCCTTCGTGGTGACAAGTGACGCACACGTCAACAAGCACCATTTTAGAGTGACAGCAACGAGAGCCAATCGCTGTCCGAGAAGGGTCTTCATTTATAAACGGACCAATGGCAGAGGGCGAGAGGGATCTGAGGGAACAATTGTTGAAGTTTAGCTGGACTTGTTTTGTTTTGGTTAGCCATCGAGGCCGACGTCTTGTTAACAATGCGACTGTTAATGAACAGTTTAGTGGTAAAGAAATAATAGTCTGTAATATTTTCAGTAATGGGGTCACTGAAGCTCGGACAAGAAAATTCAGCGACGGCGGCCACAGTTGCGGAGGTAACGTTAACAGCTAACGTTAGTTAACGTTAGTTACCAGACGCTCTTTACCGAACTGTTAGGCGGCTTCAGCTAACTAACGTTACCTTAACTTAGTTAGCCAGCTAGCTAAAACGTGTTAGCCCTATTTTGAGTACCTTTGTGGTTGCTGGCTGTAAGGTCGTTGGTTGAGTTTTTATCTTCCTCGTAACGTTAGGCCAGTTTCCTGTTCGTGCAGACAGTCACAAACATGGGTAACGTAACTAAAGTTAGCAGTGCTGTTAAAACGGCAAGTCCGACCAGACAGACACACGTTATTAAGTTATGTTAAACAATGATACCGAGAATTATCTGATAATTTACCATACTATGTATCAGGAATCCGGGCTATTACTATGTTTGAATGATTGTTCATATATTATAATAAGTCATAGATATAAAGTAGCTAGTTACATCACACCTTTTACACACAAATACCAGCAATGTGCAAACATATTCAACTCACTAGTTAACTACATCTTTTAACTGATACATGAGATATACGTCGTACTGTTTGGTGACAATACTTTAAGATTGTGTGACTAAAGAAAAAGACTGAGATCATCTGCATCTGCTATTACCATATCACAGTTTGTGACCTTAGAAAAAAATGATGTTACCACGATTAATATGTATCTACTGGTAATTAAAGCTGCAGCAGAAGAATCTTTCTCTATATCCTGACAGTAGAACATGAGACAGATAATGTGTGAAACAATCAGGTTCCTCTGGTTCCTCCTAGTGCTCCTCATGACATTGTAAGAATCCACTGGGCCTGAACGAAAACAACCAATCAGAGCCGAGATAGCTAGAAAGAGACGGGCTGGTGGCTTGAAGATAGTTGATTGTTGAGATTCCCAGTGTCAGTAAATGACGACCTAGGGTTGACACTCAACAATCAACTATCTATCTCTCCCTGATTGGTTGTTTTCATTCAGGCCTGGTAGATTTTTCAGATGTCAAAGGAACCAGACTTCTTTTTCCACAGATTATCCGTCTCATGTTCTACTGTTATTATTGTTACTATTATTAGTCTCGAAGTAAAACCACAACATGAATAATCCCAGTCTGTCTGGTCTCTTTCATCAGGAGTCATTAATAACACCATTAATAACAAGCACATCAGCTGATCAGCCACTGCCAGTGATCAATACACTGATTAATAAAGCATGACTCAAACTAATATATCATCATATTTTAGCAGTTACCTAGTGTTTCTGTAGTGGCAACAAAACATTAGAAATTAGACATATCGGTTTGAATTCAACTAAAAGCTCCCTGCACCAAACTCCTTTTAAGGAATATGACATTGGCAAAATTCCTAACCCGTCAGTAAAAACACGGAAATGTAGAAACACAAGCTAAGGACTGTCGACATTCATGTTATGTGTTTGTTGGTATTTGAGTGTTTTTCTGCCCTTACCAAAGTAAGTACCCGTCAAATGACAGCAGTAGCTCTGTAAGAACTATGTAGAAGTCTGGAAAACAGTGATGAATGAAAGTGACACATTGGACTTTAATCCTACTCACTGGTTATCTGTATTACGTATTAAACAGTATTCTGCAGAGAAGTATTGCTACTGCTGCAGATAGGAATGGTAGTTTAATGAGAGGTGAATGCAGTAGTGGCTGCCTGTAGTTCCAGTGAGGTCAGAGGGACGCAGCCGTGTTTACTTGGGCAACATGATATCTGACTCCAGAAGCTCTGCTCGCTTAGATCCAGACGGTTTCTGGCCCACTGAGCCACAAGTGTGTCTCCTTCAGCGAGAAGAGCAACTATGTGAAATAAATAATAATAAATAATGATGGCTGAAGCTAAAATGGTTAGCCCAATAATCGATGAGTTCATTTACAGAAAATGAATCGGTGTTCTGCAGGGGAGAGCAGGGATGATATATTTACATAATATTCCTCCAGTAAGGCTTTGTAACCTATGCATTACAGTGTGTATAACAAAACTTGACTTGAATTTAGGGCTGCAGCTAACAGTTACTTTTATTATTGATCTTGATTAATCCATTAGTTGTTTGGTCCAGAAAATGTCAGAACATGGTGAAAAATGTTGATCAGTGTGTCCCAAAGCCCGAGGTGTTTTGTCTGCAACCTAAAGAAATTCAGTTTACTGTCATAGAGGGCAAAAGACAGCAGAAAATATTCCCATTTGAGAAGCTGAATTCAGAATGTGGACATTTATTCTGACTCAGAATGATCAATCGATTATCAAAATGGTTGATGATTCATTTAACTGTAGACAGCTCATCGACTAACTGTTGCAGCTCTACTAGAAAACATACCCACAAGCACATGTGTATGGTAATATTTAAATACAAATAAAGCTGTTACATAGTTTGTGGCTGACTGATTTATAATGTGCATGGGATGAAGGAAGAGTCATGCTAACTAATGTATATTTTTTTAAAAGCCCAGCTCTTGTTATTACTGTGTCAGTATGCTGTGTGTTGCTTCACCAGCTTCCTCAATCCAGTGTGAGTGACAGATTGGTGTGTGTGTGTGTGTGTGTGTGTATTTACAGGCCAGGTTGGTGTGCCAGGGAGTAAACAACCAGAGCTACATCTGCGAGTCAGGTCACTGCTGTGGAGAGACGCAGTGCTGCAGCTACTACTATGAGCTGTGGTGTGAGTTACCCACTCTTCCTCATTCGTTGAGTGTAAATGGTCACTCTCCATGCCAGACACAAAGCAGGAATACACAAGCACATACATGTGTCCATACGTCCATGCTGCACTGGCTCAAAAGGGGAGTTAGCACAGTGACGAGGTGATGGTTGATAAAGATCAGGCGTGGCACTAGTTAGACCGGGCCCTGTGTCTAACCTCTCACTCACAATCTGGATTTGTTTACGGTTTGTGCTGCTGCTACTTGGCCCCCCCTGGTGGCCTCTCAGATTACAGAAGCACTCGTGCTGTTTCAATAAGAGACACCCAGACACCCAGCCTTTCAGAGCAATCTCTGGTATTTTTAAATGGAAGAGTGCACTCGGGGACTGGGTTATCAGAAAGTATCTCTTTTCTGTCAATACTGAAGTTCAAGTTGATTTTTATTGTCAATTAATCTATCGATTAATTGCTTTTGCACCATTTGTCTGGATATGTATTAATTGTGTCTTGATACACACATTGTGTTCTCCCTGCAGGGTTCTGGTTGGTGTGGACTCTGATCATTATCCTGACATGTTGCTGTGTTTGTCAGCATTGGCGCTCCAAGCAGCGCTTCCAGCAGCAGCGGCGTCAGAACGAGATTAACCTCATTGCTTACAGAGAGGCTCACAACAACTCTCAGCTGCCCCTCTATCTGAGTAAGTAGCTGCCTCTGCACATGCCACACATAGTTAGCCTCCAGCTCATATTACCTCATCACATCATACTAACAAAATGAGAAAGAAGATTTTATCTTTCTGAGCAACAAGTTCAGACTGAACTACCATCCCCTGAGCTGCTGCTACTCCACCAATGGAATGCTGCAGATTTAACTCCTAAAACAAGGACCCTGTAATAGTGTGACCCTGTGACTACCCATACTCGTTGCAAAAATACCCCTAGAGCTATTTATCCAACTAGATGGTTTTGGTGTGAGTTGCTGAGTTTTGGAGATGTCAGCCTTCAATATGATGGAACCAGGTGGCACTGGGCTTGTGGAGCTCGAAGCACCAAATAAATCCATTTGAAAAACCATGACCCAGTTATTCAAGATAATCCACAGACCTTGTTGTGGGCGGGTTTAATGTAGGAACTATTTTATTTCTACTGAACTACACCCACCAGCTGCTAGCTGAATGTTAGCTATCGCAGCTGAAATGTTATCTAGCTCAAGCTAACGGGTAGGACACCATTATTGTTTACAGAAAGAAAAGAGTTCCTCCCTGAAACTGCATCAAAACAAACTAGCTGGATAATAATAGCGCTGCAGGTAAGAGGAAAGATGTATTTTTTCATTTTGTGCGTGAACTGTTCCTTTTTAAAGCAATTTAATTTAAGTCAGAAAGTAACCACAGTGCTTGGTCTGTGTCAAAATGCAATGCATTGTTAAGTTTAGCTGAAGATAGTGAGTCTTTTGAATTAGACAAATCAAGTGGGTATTATGCAAAATGAGTGTTTTCTACTTGCTTACTTACTTAGCAAATAGGTATTTTCATACTAGAAAGACTACATTAGGAAAATCCCAGCTTTATTTGTCTGACACCGTGATTACACTTGGTGCTTTTGTTCCATCCTGTGCATGGCTTCAGAGCCCACAGGGAGAACATTTTGCCTTTGCCATTGCGTAACGACTGAGACTCTCATATACTGTAATCTTTAATATCTGTCTGTATTGTTTTTTTTTCCCTCCAGGATTCTTGCCCACTTACCTGCTGCCAGCATATGAAGAGGTAGTTGACCGTCCGGCCACGCCTCCTCCTCCCTACACCCCTCTTCAGTCAGCACCTCCACCCACGGACCCACCCGAAGAATCCCCTTGCCTACACTCGGCGATCTCTCTCACCAGCGATGCTGACGTAGCACTCCCCGCTACTCCAGAAGTCACGCACAGCCACCTTCACAGTGCTTACAACCCCAACAAGGACTTGACGCCGGGCAGGTACCGGCGCTTCACAGGGGATTCTGGGATCGAAGTGTGCGATGGCCAGGAACTGTGGGATCAGCACAGCTTTTTAGAAAGAGAAGAAGAGACCGAGGAAGAGAGGATGGGGCAGACGGAGGACCCATGCGATGGCTCAGGTCCCCAGACCTTTGAACACAGCCATATTAATGATGAAGCCATTCATGAAAACACAGACAGACACACAACTGTGGACACAGAGCCACAGTCTCTTAGGTAGTCCACAATCAGGTCTTTAATATTTGCAGTCCTGAACATAACTCTGCAGCAGTCACAGATGCAATATTATACCTTGGTCTGTTTCTACCTGTGTACGGTTGACTGTTTGTGACGGGCCTGCATACATTGACATTGAAAGCTACATTATGCAAAGTCTGGTTGGAAGCATGGATAAATGTTTTCCATTTTCATTTCCATTTGGTGATGAGCTGCCTGTTCTTTCACCTTTGCTCACACGGTTCTTTTACTTTGTTCTATTGTTCTCACAGTACTTCATGTAACCAAAGGGGCTGTTGCTCTGTCACTGGCTGTAGCATTAGACGAGGATCACTGCAGCGCTCGGCAATCTGATCATATATAGAACCAATCACAGTGTTATTTTACAATAACTTCCGGGTAGAAAACTGCTGCGTCATGTATATACAATTTAATGACAGCAACAGGCGTTATTTCAAATTGAAACATCTGCTACTCTTAAATGGGATCCCAGTTAGCTTCCACAAACCAGTCTTCCTGGAGTCCACACAAAAACAACAACAATAAAAACAAACAATTTAAAATCACACAGTGTCAATTAAACAAAATCCAAATATAAAGTTCGACATTCATCAAAATGTACGTTTTATGCTTTTTTGATATCATTAAGAACGCTTTCACTAACATTAGGTTGGAGAACTAATGCACTTGTTGGACCACAGAAAATGAGGCTTGAGCTCACCCAAAGCTAAGCTGACGGACGGTGAGATGTTGCTGTTGGGTATATTTGGTTTATCAGAGCTGCTAGCAAAGCAGTGTATAACATAAGCACAGCAGTATTTCATCTTTAAACACTGAAAATGAACAGGCTGGAATCAACAAATTTGCAGATTTGACATATCTCTTTAAATCAACTAGTTGTCTACCCAGAAGTGAGTGTGAGAGCAGCGTCACAGTGATTGGTTTCACAGGACATTTTACATGTCAGCCCCCTCTTGTAGACAAACTAGGAGAAGGAGGAGACGTTGTTTCTAAATCTCTTCAAGCAATCCGTCGACATTGTTGTACTTGCATTTCTTGTTGGTTCTTGTGTATAAGCTGATAGTGATATATCAGTGATAATCTAAAATTGTCCAGCTGATTGAGTGGTAGCTGGCTCTGTAATGTCTCAGGTCTCCTTTTATTTAATACAAGGTGAATCCAACCGGAGGCAGGCATTAAAGTGTGTAACATTTAGGAGGCTCTATGGTCAGAAATGAAATATAATATAGGTATGTTTTCATTAGAGTATAATCAGCTGACAATAAGAATCATTGTGTTTTTGTTATGTTAGAATGAGACTTTTATATCTACAGACCTTGCAGTCTCCTAACACGGAGTCCACAATGTTTTTCGCGTGTTTAACAGCCACCGTAGTTTACCCTTCATGCTTTGAAGGGGATGGTGAAGATGGTCCTAATTGCTACACACTGGTCCTTTTTAAGAATAACTATATAGAAATATGCCAGTCTTCTCGCTGATGGCCGAGTTTGTTTATGTAGGTCATGTAAAGGGCATCAGTATTAAACTGAGACTGTTTCATAACCACTTAAACTGCTTGTAGTACATTTAACCTGGTAATTTCAGCTGTTTAACACTACTACATGCTACGTTAGCTGTGATTGCCTTGTCCAAACAAGCCCAGGTTCAAACTGAACAGCATCTGAACTGCAGCCGAAGCACTCACAGGAATGCCACACATCTACATACTGTACATAGTAATGCTGCACATGAAGTTCTCTCACCGATCTGTAAGCTCACCTGTCACCTTCACTGACAAACCTACACAACAACTCTGTATTTGGACTCTGGTGTCTTCAGCTATTTCCTGCTTTATATGAACTGATGTGTTCAGTGTATCCAACACACTTGGGCACATTTTGAATCTAAAATTACACAACATTTACAGCTGATTGACATGTACAGGACTATGCATGAGCGTTGCCAACATAGGTGTGTGTGACTTGTTGCAGACTACTGCAGCTGAGCTGATGACAGAGCCACAGCCCCAACATAGCCACGTCTGTTTGTCCATTAAAAGACGCATAATGTAGCTTTTAAGGAAGACTGTCAGGTAGGGTAGCCAATCAATTTATCAGGTTTTCATTTTCTCCTCTCTTATTGATGCAGACAGTTTTTACATGCTTTCTCTGAAACTATTTTAAATCTGATTAGTCTTTTAGGAAAAGAAATGTGTGCATACACCTTTTTTTAAATGGCTGGACTGGGTATGACAAACTACAGTATCATGATCTGCCTTCAGTCAGCCAGTGTGCAAACCACCAGCTAGCATCCAATAAAGCAGATTAGTTTGATTTAATACTTGCATATTCATTGGCATGTCTGTCTTTTTAAATCACTGTTCCATAAATTGGAAAATGCACCAGCTAGTGTAGTCTGGTAGAACCAGGCTTAATATTTATATAGAATATTATATATAATAATAATAGAATATTTTAAAAACTCCTCCTTTATAAAAACGTTAAAAAACTTGATTTGATTATTGAAAAGCCCCAGCAGTATACTGTAGATTCTTCTCCTCACACAGGATCGGTAAATGATCAGCTGTCTGCTTCATTCTGGTGATTAGCCCTTGTCTTCAGCCCCCTGTCACACTGGTGTTGTATGAGGTGTTGTTTTCTGATGCCATAATGTGTAGCCTTATGGAGCCCTTTGGGTAGAGAACATTTAGGTAAACTTAATCAAAGCTCTGGAGTCTCTTTGAGTGACTCTTCAGTGTACTCAATGATAGTCAGGTAATTCATGTGATGGAATGCAGGATGTAGATGTCTGCACACATCAGAGCTGGCTAATTACTTCACAAACAATTGCTAACTATAGATATTTATCTATTTCTAATTATCTGAAAATATTACCATCAGTGTGTTTATTCTGAAAGCACACACGTTTGTGTTGGAGAGTGTAATCCATCAGTGTGTGTGTGTACAAAGGGAGTGACTGACTGGTGCAGGTGGAGGATACACCTGTTGGGAAGCTGACTGCACTGAGGGGTCTTTCTCCAATTGCCCCTTCCTTCCTAAGTCCCGCCCTTTTTCCGATATGGTTATTAACAGTTATGGAGACAACATGGACCTTTTTTGTTTTTTGTGAAACTTTAAAAAAAAAAATTGCATAGTAAAACTATATATAATTCAATTTTCAATTAATTTCAATTGTATTTGTATAGCGGCCATTCATAACAGACGTTATCTCAGGACACTTCAAGTAGGTAGTAGTAGTGACTGATGTTGATGATGATGATGATGAACATGAAGATGACGACAACAACGATG